AAGTGAGAGAGCGGATGGATTTTTTTGCGGGAAAATAATAAGAATGTAATTGTCATACAAGTCAAAACACTGCTGGACTCTCGTTATAAGAGATATACTTTCCAAAGCTTAACTTTCGCGTGCGCCACTTCCTAGAAAGCCAGGGCACTGAGATTCAGTGTTACTACTTGGCCGTAGTGACAGGGTATCAGCCTTTTTTGAAATTCTATTATCTCATCCTATTGTCTGATTTTAGCCACACCTTAATTCAAGTGGCAGTGCCGGTGAACTGAACGTACCCGAGTATCATCTGGACGAGATATTTACGTAGTTATTACTTTCATTTTAGCTAAACCAATAAACCATTGCAAGAGGTCTGACCACAACACATGAAATGCTATATGAGTTCTAGACTCATAGTAAAAAGATCCACATATGTTGTAGAAGTGAGAGCTATGAGTCGCTGAGTTCCGGCCGAATCCCGTAGAATCCCAGGCCGCAATTCGAGGTCGAAAATATGTGAATGATTGAAGCATTCAAAAACACACCGATTCACACAACTAAGTCTGCTGAAATACATCCACATCCATTGGTCCATTTAATTGATTGATTATTAGATTGGTGCATAATTAATGCGGCTTTTGTCGCGACTTGAAAAAAAATTAACGCTTCTTGAACGGTTTTTTCATGTAAATATTCCTCTTTTTTCATTCAAAAACGGTGTTATAGAAAACCTTATCCATATTCACCACCTCAGACTCTACCACTTCGGGAGGTAGGAATGCGGGGCAGTCATTCCGCGATCTCAACGGGATTTTGACTGGAGAAAAATCGGCGGAGTCGAGTCGAGAAATGTTCTGGTAGTTCAGGTAGGGAGGTGCAGAACGTTCTCCGCCAACTCATTAATGGAGATGAGTGTTGGAGACTGTACGTTAATCATACACGACTGAGAAGTTGGCTTCCGCGTGCGAACCACCTCCAAAACAGCCGAAAGGAGGACGGAGGACGAAGGAAGGTTTTTCTGTGTTGTTCGTGGAATTCCGAGGGAATGCTCTATCGAAAAGTGCTGACGCCTAAGCCAAAGTGACTGCCTAAGTCTACTCTTTTTATAATAACTACAAAAAATGGCAGACCCAGTTTCCCTGAAGCGTAGGAAAATTGAGCATGTTGTTGCTCAACATCATGACAACGCTCGACCTCCCATGGCAAATCTTACTTGCCAGGAAATTGGAGAAGTGGAAGTTCTACCTTACCCCACTTACTCTCCCGACTTGACCCCGTCTGACCACCACTTGTTTGGAGCACGAAGCTGCATTCACGACAGGAAAAATTTGATGATCTGACTAAACTGACAAATGAGATTACAAGCTTCTTCGACTCGCAGCTGTCAGAGTTCTTGACTTCTACTAGATCTGATGCTCTAGCGAAGCGCTGGCAATACCTCGTGGATCATGATAGTAATCATTTTGTTGATTGGTCGCAATAAAGTTACCTTTCTTTGAAAAAAGTACGAAATTTGGTGCAAGATATTCGGATCAACTTAATACATACAGGGAACTCCAAACGGTCGCAGACAAGAGTTGGGACCGCGGCGCGGCTCTCGTGGGCAGAGACACGGGAGTTCAGCATACTGAGCGCCTGCGTCTCTGCCCACGAGAGCGGTCCCAACTCTTGTCTGCGACCGTTTGGAGCTCCCTATATATCGTTATGGAAGATACGATAGCGTCAAAAATTTGGGCTTATTCTGTTATGAAAGACGCAATACCACCGATGGATTGATTCTTATTCAAATACATTCAATGTATGTAAATATATTAAAGAAACGCCGATCCTAATAATATGTTGAATAGACTCGATTTGCACTATTTTCAAAAAGAAAAATCTTCAGTATATAAGGAAGATCTAATTTCTGTCTGGGTCTTCCCAAGTGAACGCCACAGTCAAAAGTTTGTTGTTCAGAATTATGTTTCGTCTACTAACACACTTATGATGTTTCTCCTTCATGTGTTATTACATGCGCTGAACGAATTATTCTGCATATAAAGCACTATAAACGAGCGCTTAAAATCCTGTAATTTATACAGCTGATTCCGAACAGTCTCAGCCCAGTATGCTTTGCAGCACCTTCCTAACACAACCTTTCAGCCTTAAATCTTTCTTATTTTTGCTCTCTTAACGAGCTCTGTAAGTAGCGATGTTTGTCGGTGAAGACCTCAGATTCAGTCACAATCCGTGGTTGCTGATGAACAGGAAAAAACCAAGGATAAAATATATAAAAATGAAATCTCTGACGATGCACTTTAGCTCAGGTGATCTCCATTCAATGAGCGTTAGAATAATCCACTAGAGCAACCTCAAATGTGCTTATAAAAAGAACAAGATTATTGGTTTTGAAGTATACTTGGCAAACTCGCTTTTATTACATCATAGTATTCGTTTTCCAAACCTGTAGGTTTTCCAAGGCTTGCTATTTATAAATGACCCTTATTTTCACCATCTTAGTTGATTCTATGAGTGAATACGTGCAAGGGAACATGCCGCTACCGGAAAATGAAAATACTGACTTTTTACATAGGATGTCCCCGCAGGTCACTTTATAGCGCAAATACGCATTCACTGCCTCTACGATGCTCAGATGAAGTCAAGTTCGTTGTGCAACCCATACACAGAATTGATTAAGGCCGACTATTCCATCTTTCATTCTTCAACTTTGATTGAAGGTGTTCCGGTCCACTTTCAGGCATACTCAGACAAAAATGTTAGGACATGCGGAGGACGATAGCCCTCATCTCTTAAGGGAGTTTATTGCTCATGGTGTGACTCATGACTGCTTCGGGACTTGCGGAGGACGTAGTCAATGAGTGCGACCAAGGCCCAAAAAACTGTGGGGACTTGCGGAGGACGGGGTAGTCAGGGGTGCGACATACCATCGAACACTGATAAAAGCCTCGGATGGGTGCGGAGGAGCATGGCGGGTAATCCGAGAACCTCCCGAGGTCTGACATCACGGAGCAGTGAGTTCTGCCTGTTATTCCACTACTTGTTGTCCTGCAATCCGTCTTTCGTCCATAACAACGTTTACTAGGCTTCTTATTGGCACATTCATTCAAAAGATCTGGCAGTCATCAGTATAGCTTCCATACTCTTCCTTTTACAATGTGAACTCATAAAGGTATCTACGAATTGAAGGTATCTGTGATTTGTAATTGTTGGAAGACCTGCAGCTGTATGCACTACAGTGAAAATTAATGAGACTGGTTAATGTTTATCGAATTACATAAAAGGCAAAGTGCGAGTGTTGGGTTTGTTTCAGGGAGGAATGAAGAAGGAGTAGCCTTCTCCCTCTAGGTCCACCACTAAGGAGCAGGTGCAATCTTGCGCAACTGCAATATCAAACGTAGCCTCATTTGAGCAAATGTTATCGCAACCGCAGCAATTAATGGTTCTTCGACTACAGTAACAGTCAATTTCATCCTTGTAATTACAGGAAAACACAGGAACAACTGTTCGCACCGCATTGGGACAACCTCATGGAAACAATGCTCCACCTTTTTCTGGTGAGGAAGTCTGAATTATTATTATTATTTGGGCTCTTAGGCCCATGGCATAATCCACAGCGACACCGCCGCTGTAAAGGAAATAAATTTAAGGTACTGCACTGCGTCAACGAAGTGTTGTCGGTGTGTTCGAATGATCCACAGAAAAAAGACGTCATCCGTACAAAAAGCCTGAACCTTCATAACGCTGCTAGGAAGGCAATCGTTTCCGCCGATGGACTGGAACAGACTGATAGAAGCAAGTTACCGGGATCAAGGGATTTGTTCAAAATAGTACGTTAAGTCTATCTCAAAGTATTTCGATATTGGATTTAAACTTGAACTTGAACAGTGTTTTGCCGTGAAGGTAGAGTGCAAGGGTAATATTGCTTTAACGGCATAATTGAAGCAAAATGGCTGGTTATCATTGGCTATTCTCTCTCTTCTTACTCAATGGTAAAGAAAAAAGGAGAAAGATAACGCGGTTAGTTTTATTTCACCAGCCCCAGTTTTATGTAAATGAAAGTAATCGAAGAAGAACTGGATACAAAAATCATGTAAGAAAAGTTAGTTTGCCCTGAGAATAGTTCCTATTACAATGAATCGGAGGTGAAGTAATGTGAGCGAAGCGAGCACTAGGAGAAGTCTGGAAGTCCGGCATGAGCCGGTTGAACAGACTGGTAGAACAATAGATCCTAATATCGTCAGCAAACCCACAACATCCGACACTCGTCGAGATAATCAGCGTGAGCAGTCCATAGGTAAATTGAACAGTAGGGACGAAATGATGCCGTCCGAAGACACTCCACTCTTTGTCTCGGTTTTTAAGAGTCGAATTAACACACACCCTAGAGGTGCGCTCTGGGAGAAATGCGGATATCCTAGCGCTGATTCGGACTCTCCAATTTTACCTAAGAAAACAAGCAAATTCATCAGTCTAAAGACGCCTTTGTTATCATTCTTGTGATTTTGACGTAGAATATTATGATCAGAAAAGGTCTGTGGTCCTCTGATGTTTCCAGCTTGAACCGTTAGGTGGAGCATGCAATTTCCTCGTGAGAAGGGAAATGAAAACATGAGATGTTGCAAGCAGTTCGTCTAATCTTGCTGTCTCAATGATTTGGTTTTCGTTCTTTGCTCCTGGAAACTAATAGCAAAAACAGGATAGGTGTTCTGTTTTTGAAAAATTCTATGCTCACACCTAGTTCTGTAGTGCAAACGCAAAACATTCGTAGCTGACACTCTCTAAAGTGGTGCAGTGCTACTTCTCAGAACTCCAAAAACAACTTGTCGGCAAGCATTTGGCGAGCAAGCTTATGATCGCATCTGAAACTGCTTTTCCAAAAGCTTGTTGACATCTTGGTTATGCAGTCTCTTGTCAACAACTTGTTGGCTGCATCGTATGTGTGATGTACCCGGAGTTATTATGATATCCAGAAGACATTTTAGTACAAACAATTTATTATTTTATTATATAACCAGCAGTAACAAAAGGGAGATTTGAACTCCCGTCGCAGGATTCAGAGTCCCGAGTGCTAACCGCTACACCACGGGACCTCCATGTGATGTACCCGGAGTTATTATGATATCCAGAAGACATTTTAGTACAAACAATTTATTATTTTAATATATAACCAGCAGTAACAAGCGACCACTTGGGCCGCATACAGAGAGGAGAAACTACCCACGCCCCGAATAAGGGGGTGTGGTTAACATACAGAACCAAATCCATGACATAGGCTATGCGGGCATGGGAACTTGACTCCCTCTCTCTCGTGGACACGTTGCTCAGCTAAGAGGTTGTCGACGACTTTTTCGGCCAAACGCTTCTTTGCAAGTTGTTTTTTGGAAAAGCTGATCGAGAACTTGTTTGTTCTCTTCCTTGTCAACAAATTGGTTTTGAATGGCATGATGACGCCAAGCTCATCGACAACGATTCTCTAGTTAAAAGCTTGTTTGCAAGTTGTTTTTGAGCAAAGCTGGGCCGACAACTTGTTTTTGGGGTTCTGCGTTAACACATCATTTTCATAGGTACTGCAAATATTGAAAATCTTAGTTGTCACAAAACATACGATAAATTCAGACATACGACTGTTCCCTGGAGGGATTGGCAATGATTGCTGTCTCTAACTGCCCTAGCAAGCCCAGAACAGATCATCTGACGAGCAAAAATGCAGTGAACTATGCAATGTGAGCTTTACGTGGTTTGCAAAATGCGTGAGAAAGAAAAAGTATATCATTACAGTAAAAGGGGTGTCAGCAAGGCTCCTGAAAAGGATGATGACTACGCTAAGGTACTAGAAGAAGCGGTGACAGAATGGGTTGATTATCGATACGAAGGTGTTCTCGACAAAAATGTCACCTACAAGGATGAGGCCATGGAACCGTATGCCAACGTTGGTTCTTCTCATTAAATTTTTGATGTTGTGAGAAAATAAGTATCCACGTATAGTTCATCATGAAATGAAAGCAAGCCTTCATCGGATTACAACGGATGACAACATCGGATGACAGTCTTTTCCAAAATGTCACTGTGCGCATTGTCTCCGTTAGGTTGCTATGCTCAACGGCAAGCGAAGGCAAGATGTGCCAGGAGAACAACTCTGGCCGATATTACTCAGAATTTAGCCGTCATTCAGTCATTCCTAATGCCAAGAGCGACCAAGCGTGTTGGCTTAGTGAAGACAAAAATGCTGCATTGGATGCCAGGCGTAGCACGCTTCGACGGTCTGTGACCATACAACGTGGAAGTGCTCCAAAATTTATCTATTTATTTATGCAATACACCAGAATGGAGCGCCATAATTGCTGGTAACATTACAAGGATACAAGTGAAGCCTGATGGATTTTGAAGGAAAAAGTGTGGCAAGAGGCACCTTAGCTTCACTATCCACAAATTACTGTTCACCCAAATAGTAATATTTAGTCGAGTAACATTGCGCGGATCACCACTAGTAGAATAAGGTGTTATTTTCTTACAGCGGCAGAGTATGTATTGACCTCAGAAAGAAAAGGTGGGCAGATATAGTCGTAATCGCCAGCCACGCACCATCCAACAATTAAAATAACTACGTTCGCTGGCAAGTTGTACAAACCACGTCGCCTATACTACGACATCATCTATAACAGAGGCGAGATCGTCTCCTAAATCGGTTCCCATCCTGACAAGCACGGAAAACAAAAAAAAACGTAAGAGGCAATGCTGGATCGGAACGCAAAGGACGTAATGATGTTCAAATGACGTCAGCGGACAAGTATTGCGAACTCTTCATCCAGAAAGAACAAATTCTGGATAAGAAAATAAGCAGAAATTGATTTGAACAGGAACTGCTTCCCATTTCTGAAAATTTCCCATCTTTCCATCTTCACCCGTACTGTTCAGATTATTTATAACAACACAATTGCTGTTGGATGTTCAACAATATACTGCGCCAATAGGAAACGTGTTTCAACCGCCTGCATCTACAGTGCTAAGTAAGCTTTTCTAAGAAAAAAAAGTGACATATTGGCGCACACGTGCTGCACCAATTGAGCACAAACTTCCAACAGTTTCCATGTTCGAGTGTCCTTGAATCTTGGCATAGTGATTGTGTTTGTGAGATACATTGAGATTTTTTGAGCTGTTAGCCAAGATGGTTACGGATCTTTATCGAGTCTAATGTTTCGATGTTCCGTAGTTCTTTAGTGAAGCTGTCGTTTTAAGGCCAGTATTGGGAAAGCCGCTCTACACTCCTGCAAAGGCAGGGACCAAATGTGATCCAACAAAGAAACATTGTGCAAGGGCTATCAAAGGAGCAGTATGCCAGGATGATAAAGATAAAGAAGCCGAGGGACTTTGTTTCACAAAGTTGAAGGAGGTGCCATGTAAGTTCCCAGTTATCTTGCTACACACAAGCACAATTTCAGAATGTGCGGATGTGCCAAAAAATCTCCGAGCAGAGCTATGCAGTCTTGAAGCGCAAGAAGTGCTCTTTTCAGTGGTTCTTGCAATCATATGCATTTTTCATAAATAGGTGTTATAAGGAATATGGTAGAGAAAAACTACGGCTAACTCGGCTCGAAGCTCCCAGTAAGAGTAAATCTCCAACAAATTGATTTTTTCCACCAAATTTGAGAGGTTCCGTATCGAAGAACAGGGGCGCAAAGTTGTTACTGTAATACGAAAGTGTGGTAACTTGTGGTAGGTTCACTTGCTGGGGACTGTTCATTGCCACGTGGGACTTGTGTAACTTGTTCAAATGCTCGGAGACTTGCTCACAACAGGGTTCATCCAACCTTTCGAACGTCCCCAGCATGGAGAATACATGCTTATATACAGTAGACAAATATGTAAACATGATTCATAA